TTAGCAATAAAAATATGCACATATCGAAAATATTCCTTGAATAAAGAAAATCAACTTGCTCGCTATTCTGTAAATTAATATTTGTAAACCGTAAAACATTGCTATCTCACATACAAATTATAAAACTTTTCAGATGTTCATCATTGTGTACTCAAGTTGACTATAGAATTGTGAAAAAAAAAATAGTTTAGGTGGTCTCGTTTCGGATTAATCGGCAACAGATAAAAATAAAGATAAATTTATTGTCGAACCATAATTTTAAGTACTTGTGACTGTACAACGTCAAGGCCATCGCGAGAAGTAAACAGACTCTATAAAATTATCAGAGATCGTGAGTTAATAATAATAGTTAAGCATTATAATATGTTTCCTGTAGAATTGTGAATTTCGAAGGCTGAGCGAAGGAATGTAAATTTAGAATCCCTAACATCACATTGATGCGAAATCTTTGTCTTCATGATAGAAACTTGATCTCGATGCCCTGTTATATCAGATTATCCAGTATTTTAGAAGTTATGATTCAAATATTGTGTTTCTGCAAGAACTGTTTATCGGAACTAACTTTCACTACGCTGCCCAAATATGCGATCGTGTACAATGTACATGGTTATATTTCCTGAAAGTACTGTAACAGTTTGTCTAAAATGTTCAGGAATATCATATTATTCAAAAGGTTAGTTTTATTTCAAATAAAAATCTTTGTGTCACTTCTGAAAGAGAATTTGATACTGGTATTTTGCACGCATTTCACTGTTTGCGCAAGCGGCGATCGGCTCTTAGAGATTTCCCTCTCCCCGTCATGTTGCGAGTTTGCTTTGTCGCGACCGTGACTTATTCTCCCACTTTGAAGTTTCTCATGAATTCTATACTACATTACGCCAAATACTTTGCCAGTGACGAGCTGGAAATGATTTATTTTAATACTTCTTTAACAGTAGATTTATTCGTAGTGCGATCTTCAAACTTCAATTATCTGAAGAAGATCCATCCATATATGCTATAACCAACGCATAGTCGTAATCATATATAGAATAGTTATCAATCTCTCATATACCGTCTAAAATATAAAAATTTCGGGCGTTAAAGATTTAGTCACATTTAGGCTAAATTTAGATTTATATTCGTATGGTGGCAATAATATTTCTGAATACTCAATGAAATGTTCAGAGAATTAGATTTTTTTTGTCTTCCATTGTACTTTGGAACAAGTTATCTTCAAATGCTTATATATATATATATAAGCATTTGAAGATAACATAATACAGCTAGTTCCACTACCATGCAATCAAATGTGTTTCTGGAATTCATTCATTATTCGAGGTTTTACCAATTGTCTTACTGATATCAAGGCACGGTGAATATAGGATACCAAATTTTCAATTATATATATTGTTTAATCAATGCAAGGCAATAAAGATGTTAATCAGATAGATATACATTATGTATCGAGAAACGGAAGCGAGGGTAAACAAAATGGCTGACGCTTAACGAAAGATAAGTCGATATTTCTCGCATTCAGACACATTTGTATGTCGAGTGTCACCGGACGGTTCGTTTATAATTTCCGTGGCGAGTGTAATTTTGTTTATTAATTTTGATATGTTTTTAATTTTTATATTGGTGATTTGGAGGACAATAGAAATATGCCACAAAGAGGGTTTTCCGTACTTGGACTAAATGCGGAAATAGTTATTAATTTAGCATAGAATGCATTCCTATTTTGCGATCAAAAAGCATCGTATGTAATTTTGTAAATGTAAGTTAGATCAAATGTAAAATTGACAGTGATATATTGATTGTCTGTATTTTGGAACTGTATAGTAGTTGTCAAAGTATCAGCCGTATAGTTGTTCTATTGTAAAATGAGAAAATGATTCCCAAATTATACGAAAGCGGTTTGTATGATGTATAGACAGTAGGTGAGGCGGGCAATGCAGTGATTATATTTGTTATCCTTACCCTTCGACGTGTTCATGAAGAAAAAAATATCGAGTATCACACGATAAAAGTTTCAGCTAAAAAAACTGTCGCTCTTGCTCGTGTCTGAGATTTCCTAATTGCTTCTCGAATGCAGATTAGCTCAAAACTCATTTATAACTATATGTCAAGAAGAAAAATGGGTAAAACATCCATTACTCAAAAGTTTGCGTTCCGGTTCATTTCGAAAAATCTTGTTGCAAAAAAGTTTCTTCTATTTTTAATTGCTGGAAAATATATCCAATCAATGTAAATCTTAGTACTGAATAAATTCTAAATATTGTATGATTTTATGCTCTACTATCTATTGCGTTTATAATGTAAATTTATATACACAGTAAATTTATATACAATGTTTTCTTTAATACTTGTAAAATGAACTGAAAGTTGTAAACCCATCAACAGCTCTGCCTCACGCAACGAAATTGCATAATTAGTTCAACTCCTTTTACTGTTCTTGTAAAAAAAGAAGAAAAACGTGTATTTCATCACCCTATTGTGAGTGGACGAAAAAATTTATCTTTTTAGTTATGCAATCTGATTCTACAAGATAAAATTTTTTTGTTACTGGATTTAAAAAAACTGAGAACGTTAGAAATTTGCACGACTGTAGAATCTTGTTTGATACAAATTTTATGAATACATATAGTTGATGACATTTGCTATAGATCACAATTTTAGTTCTCATTTATTTATTACCAAATCTTTGTTATTCGGTATCAGTTTAAAATTTCAATTTAAAAAAATATATATCTTCTTGCTGATAAATTTGATTTGCTCGTCATAAGCAAACATCCATGGACCACGCGCGGAAAAAATAATTTCTTTTGGCATCCGGGGAATTCTGATATAATTAATATAACATGCCAGAAATCATTCATTTCCCATTAATGAAATAGGTTTAAAATTGTTGGCGAATTCAGCTATTGTAATGCGAATTCTCTGGAGGAAAGCAGTTGTCTTCTACACTTGCATATGTGCGCTCAGGGACAAGAGATAACGTTTCCCTGTATGCTCAAGTATAGAAAAATGTCAGCGCCCCACGACAAGTATTCATAATACGATATGGCCTTGGATAATGGTTACATGATATTAATTAATTTTTGTAATGTGACGAAACGTTGTTCTAGAGTCTTTGATCGGTTGGGTTTATTAATAATATTGTTCCAGATTATTAATAACGTTGACACAACGGAAGTTTGTCAAATAACGTCATCTCATGTGAGTTCTCAAATCCCCATTCTTTTATTCTAAACTATTTTTAAAATATTTATATAATATTTAACGAAGATTTTGAAATATTCATTATTGAAATTCACATCACATATGTTACAGTCACCGTTATTAGAGATTACATTCGCATTTTCCTGATGACAATTTTTTGTTTCATTTTGAGTTGTTGTGCAGTATACAATAGGAATGATATGTATAGTCGATCTGAAATATTAAAAAGTTCAAAACGTTTTTGTTTTGCCGAAACTCAAGAAAACACCGATCATTTGGAGTTCAGTTATATCAGATTGTATTCTGTAAATATAACATAATTTGTAGTTTTAGGTTTTTATAAGGTTTCGTTTTGTGTAGTCACGGTAAATTTTATATTGGGTCAAATTCCTCCAGTTATGAGAGAATGATCTTGATATCGCTCTGCGTATATCTGTAATGTTTCTTCGCCATTTTATATTGGGGTATACATTTGTTATTTCAAAATACAAACTGTGCCAAATTGCGCCATATTATTAATTTTTATTTTCTTTTTCACGATTTATTCAGCCTAATTATTGGAAGGTGGGTATTTTTCCCAAAGCGACAAAAATTTTCAAATTCTAAGGCTTTTATGCGGATAAAGTCACGTAGTCCTGGTGGACTGAACAACCGAAATAATTCTTGCAGATTATCGTCATTACATATTTCAAAAACACAATTTGACAGTCCCTAGAGGAAAAAACAGTTCAATATTTAGAATTCATGCCCGATGGGCCTGTGCGAGCTACATGTCAATCGACAAAATCTTTTTAATATGAGGTAAATCGTATTACCGAGTACATATATTACATATTATCATGATATGTAGTTTAACAATTTACACTTATTAATTAGACTAGCTCATAAACTGTCCATCAATTTCGAAGATACGACGATGTAAAAGTTTCTTGTACTTTGAAGACAGGCTGGGAACAGCTACAGAATAGGGGTGGCTACAATTTAACATATACAATAATTTTCATGTCAGTCAAAATTTGTCGACGCCTGACACACAAAAATGTATTTTCAGTTGCATTCAAAGCGACCACTCTTATGTATTTCTGTTTCTACGTGGTCAAATTAGGACAAACATGGCCATGCTGCATTAGTAATGTCTCATTAGTATAAAGGTCTGCCCTCATATTATGTAACTCGCGACATTGGGTTCAAAATGTATTCTTAATGAAATCGTACCGTCAATCGTACCGCCAGTTTTCGTGTCTGGCGCCATTTTGGATTTGAACTTGGATAGGAGAGCTGATGTATCGTAGATCAATCAAGGGTTTTTAATATAAAAAATAAATTGCTCAAGTTTGCTTTGCATATACTTTAGCCAAATTCCAATTAGTACATGCTTACTAGTCATATGTTTGTTAACTTTATTGAATGAGAGGATATGCATATAACGATAATTAAAGTGTGAATGCTTTATAAATAATGATGATCGGCATTCGTATAAATCATATTTGAGGTATCAAAAAGACCTTGTAGAGTTGCCATTCATAATAGATTACTGCATCTTCCGACACCGTAAAGTTTGAGTTTATTTTCTGATTTTATTTCAGATTTTTGTTTGTATCCATTTACATGCGCCGGAATTTTTTTCGATTTTTTTTCTATTACTCAGGTTTACATTTCTCGAAACAAATATTATTTTTGTATAATATAATCTTAGTGAAATACATGATTGCTGAGTTGGTATGATTTTGTCATACTTCGGCACGCTAATCATCCCCGCGCTTACAAATTATTATTGTTTGTTTAGTTTCAGAATAGCACTGCTTTCTAACGGATATAACGTTTTGTTAATAGAGCATATTGAAATGCGGTTTTTATCCGATTTGTTACTTATGTAATATGACTGCTGGTACTGGAGATCTTGAATTTGAAAACGCACATAGAGACGAGGCTATTGATCTGCATTCTCGAGATCGGAATTTTTATGAGGGGTATGCCGCTCAAAAGAATCATTACTGCCGCGAAGCCGACTATTCTTTCCCTGACAAGCTGAAACATAAAACACGTGAACAGACAGAAGAATCAATCACCCAACAAGTTCATCAGCTGAGCGTTGAAGATACAGTGAAAGGTCAAAGGCAATCAAAAATCATGAGCAGCAGAGTGGGAATACCTCCAATGGGTTATTACCCATACGATCATCATCAGTTTAGTTCAGACCAAACTTACAGATCTAACACGGCACACCAACTTCCCTATTCAGTTTCCTTTTCACCGGAAACGTTTTCTTTTAAACGACAATCTGCAGTAGAAAGACGGGACTTACACCCTGAAGTTACAAGCAGAAACGATTATGCAGGAGAAAACAGAAATAGCACAGAAGAAGAATATAACGAATCGGGTGGTCAACGAAAATACACTTATATAGGTGATACTACTGAAAACAATGCTCACAATAAAAATGGCCTCCCCGGTTATCGTGGTGCTTACCCAGATAGCAATAGATATGCTAGGGGAGTTTCGACAAATCACGGACCTAGTCCAGGAGCAGAAGTAATGGATACCAATATGAGTTGCCTTCTTTCGTCTTCTGAACGGTACATGACCGATTCTTACGGGAAAGAAAGTTCAGAAACCGTTAATAATGTAGCGTTGCTGGAGGCGAGTGTATCAAAACCACTATCTCCATTTAACGCTCAATTTTCGCTTTCAAACAAAAATAATAACAACCATGCAATTGATGATAATAATATGCACACATCCTCTCCTCAATCACACTCGGAAGTGACATCACCAGAGCTTATGGCGTCACCTAAAATATCATCACGTGAAGGTGGGGCACGACCTGTTCGAAAAAATCCAAACGTAGCGTCTGTTCAAGCAAGACTGGAAATGAAGTCGCTTTGGGATGAATTCAATGATCTTGGAACAGAAATGATTGTCACTAAAGCTGGAAGGTGAGTGTGTTATGCTTGTATTTTTTGAACTTTTACAACGTTTATGAAAAAAATAGAAATAAAACAGTACCATACAAAAATGTGGCACCAATGTTTTCGAGGTTCAAAATGTACACTCCTGAAAACAAATAATTCCCAAAATAAGCAACGTGATTATGTGTAATTTAGGTTAGCTACGTTTTATTGAAGTTAGCAATAAAATCAGTACATATAAACATAATTGAAATCTGATGTAGACCACGCGTGTCGTTTGTTTCCTCGTTTCAATACTCCATTTGAGTTTAACATTATTCATAATTGAAATGAAAAAGTAAAACCCACAAGACTGAGATTTTCATTTTAGAATCTCTTTGAAAAGCATGGCGTTGAAAATGAAATAAACCAACGCCTTTTACCGGATTACCCCTGTCCAAAACCATGACCGAAATCTATATTTTCACCTTCTGTCGACTTAAATATGGACCGAATAAAGGTCGCTTCTTTTCATTCAAACCATCTTCAATATTCTTGCCTAATCCTAAGTTCAATTTACATAAGATGAAAAATCTGTCTAGAATGCTGAACAGGTGCGACGAAATCGCAACCCTATGATTCTGTGTATTTTATCGTGCGTGGAAACATAAGTTGACCATGACGTACTGTGGATTGGTTTGGCACGTCTTTCACGTGGAGACGCCGTATAGTTGCCGAACAAAAATGGGCGAGATGCTATATAGACGGGCGGTAAACACAGCAGATGATCGGCGTATTTCCGGGACTTGAAGTTGTCTTCGTTTTATTTTATCCCATAATTTATGAATAAAATTCCATGCGGTCGTTACGTGGCATAATAGCAAACATTTTTAATGGATGGGATAAAAATTGAAAAGATTTCCAAGTTATAAGAAACACGACAAATAAACTTGGTCTTCCCATGTTAGCTCATGCTGTATAGTATACACACACCTGCTTAGGCATAATCGACGCATAACTTTATATATATACATAATTTATATATAAATCATCATACGATCTCTGTTAATATATCTGGCTGAAGTATTTTAATGTGTGTCATTATCAAATGTGCTAAACTGGCATTGCCTATATTTCTTGAATAAAAGAAAACGACTGACATCACGAGTGTCGATGGAAGGACAATCCATTTAAGTCGATTGTAACCCACCCACTCAATGTATGCCCAGTCAATGATTGATGTTGGTATTCATGGTGACATAAAAAGGCAAAGCATTGAGACGTTTGCCCAAAAATATTTAACAAAATGTCTGAAATATTGAATGACAGACACTTTGTCCCAAAGTTACTGTCTATACATACATACCATCAAGAATGCTTCTCAAAATTCCAGCATGAGTTGTTAACCTTGTAATATTATCAATAAATCTATGAAAACTGGTTTTGTTGCTAAACTGAAACTGATAAGAAAGCGAGTGATACTTATTCTACTTTTCGTATTGTAGGATACATTACGGCCACGTTTCTACCGTTAGTCTGCATGGGTTACTTTACATATTCCGGCGCAGTACTTACTACATCTCGGCCACATTTCTACCGGTAGTCTACACGGCTTGTGTATACTCCGGTATATTTAAATGCATTATGGAATTGTTTCAGCTCGAACATTACTTCCTCGGGGGAATCTCATTGACAGGCAAATATACAAACATATTATTTTATCGAAAAATTCTCATCTTGCTGCGCGTATAATATATAGTTGACTAGTCAGCGCCAAACGTGGGGACTTGAATTGAATCTTTTAAATTTGTTGTCATCTACATATTCGCATAGTCCTAAGCAACCATTTCTACCAAAAAATATCTAATGTATTCGCTGGATTGCTATCACATAAAAACGTGTCTAAGCTGTTGGATTAGGGATGCCACCTGTCTTTGCGTTTACCTTCAACTTAGTAGTGAATTTCACTTTCAGTGATGTGTGCCAAAGGTCAAGTGGGCATTAATGGACTCAACTTGACAAATGTGTGTTGATCTATCCTGGTGTCAACACTTTGAGATTAACTTTGAAATATAATAAAGAACTGCATAGAATTTTAGTGGAGTATTATTGATATATTATTAATACATAGTGCATATTATATCAGTCTTACATAGGTAATTTATGTTGATACGTCCGTGAAGAGTATATTAATCTGAAAAATAAACAATACATTTTCTTTTTATATTAGATGAACACTATGAGATGTCGTATATATACAATACCCATATTTTTTAATGCTGCTTATTGGCAACAACTGTTCTAGTTTAGCCCACCAATCCATGTAGGGTGTAAAATACTTAACTATGATTTGGAAACCCTTGCTGCTTGCAAGTAGCCTTGTTCAAAAATGGGTGTAAACAAGCAAACAACAGATTATTATATTATAACACATATATACTATAGTATTTATTCTTGTTTTCATGTAATAACTGGTGCTATAATAACAGTTGATAAATATCTGCAAACACTAGTGTCTGCAAAAGTATTGGAGGTATTTGAATCGGTTTATTAATAATCACTAGGTTTATGTCTCACGAGATTGCATGCAACGGTTTGTCTGTACAAGGATATTTGTTCATTCTCATATTTAGACATCCGAACAACTTCCAAACGCGAAAACAATTGTATTATCTAAAGTCGGTGATTTATTTTGCCATTAACTGTACGATGACTCTAATGTTGTGTCGAATCTGTCCCGGGGGAAACATTAAGCACGCATGTAAACTAAACTTCAACTATTGTGAATTAGGCCTATCCCAAATCAGGAATGCGATTTTTTTCTCAAATGTACCGCTCTAAGTAATTTCATAATTTATACTGTCGGTATTTTGCACTATTATAATTATTATTAATAAATAATTCCGCGAAAAACGATAAATCGTGTATGTCCCCCATATATATTAGTGATTTCACGATCGATTTATCCAAGGCCATAAAAGCTCAAAATCATGTTTGCGATATAAAAAATTTTGATTGGAAATATGAGTTCTGGAACACATCTCTCTAGTTGTCCGACAATATAGCGGATGCCATAATTTGCGTTTTATCGGGGTAACTTGTACGATAAGAAGAAATTCCAATTTATTTGTTTACATATACGTGCACGCTACAGTCAGTAGGAAATTCTTAAATTAAAGAAAGTTATTCGCTGCGTAACTGTCACTATAATGTGATATTGTCGCCTAGCTGTCTTAATACTCACTAGGACAAAAAATTCTCCATTCAAGTCCTAATGTTTATTGCAAAAAAAGCCGGTCTGTACTAGTTTCAATCAAAGCAGGTTGATGGTGTCACACTATTTTCTGGTCAAAAGATGAACTTGTATTTCACTATTTATATCGTTTATATATTCTGGTCTGTGTATTGTCTGTTTCTATAGAATTCATTGCCATTAAAAGCTTTAGCCTGACAAAAAGTTTGTAGTTTAAAGTTTAAATAGGGTTTTAATGCCCATTGCCTATCTAGTATTTCAATAATTTACCAAACTTGTTGACTGAATGTCTGCGCAATTACGTGTCAATTGACCCGCCAACCTTTTCATGTTTAGTGCCATATTAGATTCAATTGCTGGTTGGTCCTGTAGCCATCATGAAACTAACATCTTAATCAGGTTTAATGAATTCAAAATGATATTCCGAACAGTTGAGATTCCTACCTTGGGTCGTCCATTATTATATCACCCCTAATCTTGATCGGAACAATGCAAACACATTATTTGAAAAAAATGTAAATCAGTATTCAGACATCTGTTCTGCTTACATATAAATTCAACCTAAAACCAAAGGGCTATTCCAAGTGACACTACAGGACAATTCCAGAAATTTTGCATTTTGTTGGATGCAATATATTTTCACATTTTCAGCTACATGTTTTGTTTCATTGTCCAATCAGTTGCTTTATTGAATATGTAAAAAATTGCACAAAAGTTACACCCAAGACTTACTTAGTAGATAAAAAAATATAGTAAAATATAGCGTGACACTACAGGACGGCAAATCCACCATGCACTAACAGTACGTTGTGATGTGCTGTAAATTTTTGCGATGATACAGTAGGAGCCCATAGTATTTTCTGGTGCAGTAGCTGAACTACCCCTCTATGTGTTGCTCAAGTTACTTAATGTAACACTGTAAATCCATGCCAATAATGTGCATATTGTATGTGACACTACAGGACGTGACACTACAGGACATTTTTCCACTTCGGAATAGCGGCCTCTATCATCTCTCAAAATTCTGGTAATAAATCGTTAAATGGGTGAAGAAATGTCCTACAGCACTGCAAACATTTAAACTTTATTAACTTAAATCCAGTGTGTCAATTCCATATGAAATAACTGTACCACACAATCAAACACTTTGTGTCAGGAATCATCACAAAATATGTCAATTATACCAAAATTTCCACATTTCAGGCAATTTTTTATAAACCATCAAAAACCTGGGTGAAATTTTAAATTGTTCGATGAAATGAATGCAGTCCAATAAAATTCCAATGTCTTTTGGTATCAAAAATAAAAAAAAATTACTTTCACTACACTTTTTGAAAAATTGATGGAATTCAACTTTTGCTTGGAATGGCCCCAAATATCAAACATTTGATAGTATAAGCACTTGAGTCTGTATAAGCACCCACAGTTCATTTGCACTTTATCGTAAAGTGTTATAGTTGGATTTCGAGTATAAAAAATGCAATAAATTTATACTCGAACGCATACAAATTGGGAATAGCTTTGTTGTTTTTGTGGTGAATTCAGGTGGTCACATAAACATTTTTATTCGTGTTGTGAGGCTCTTGAAATACATTTAAAACTCGTAAGCCACCGAATAGGTGTGATAATCTAAAGAGGAACATTGCACCTGGTATGGGCTGATAACTTGTACGGTCATTTACTAATCCCCTCCTGTTGGGATGTGTGTGACGTAAGTGAAATGTGAACAAATTTGCACAAACACGCGAGCCGAAAACATCGAACAATTAAACTTTGTTTTATTTGTTTTTCTGTTTTGTGCTCTTTGACTGAAAAACGGACAGTACATGAGTGCAGAATTCTTCTGAATGATGGATAGGCCATGCAATACGAAACAGGAGTAGAGTTTCCATTTTGCCTAGGCGTAATGTAACCCATGTTTAGAGGTCAATTTACGTCGGTAAAGAACTATAGATGATAAAATTTTACTTTAGTCGCTCTAACTTATAAAAAATAAATACGAATATCGAATAATTGCTTTGTCCACTAGGAATAATACTCGTTTTAGACTTGAACATTGATCGTACTAATGAACATTCATATTTATATTTTCTGCTCGTGTTTGTGATGTAAAGCGCTACAACGGATTATAATAAGAAGTCTGAATATTATATCGAGCCCCGTTTCTGTAGCAAATGAGTCACAGTTAGGTTCATTGTAATGCTACAATTACAAAATGAAACCACTTTGACCCAGAAACGCTTAGTCTCGTTAATGTGTATGTTTTGGTTACGGCTACTTAAAACTGTAAAGCAACACTACAGAGATGATGAATTAAACGGCAAAATCCCTGCTTATGCGTATTATCGGCACTTCCTGCTGAACTTGATTATTTTCTGGGTCATGGCTCGGTCAACTGGCGGGAGCATGGATAACATTTATATTTGTTACGTTTAGTCATTATTTTATACCGAGTAAAAAGAATGATTATTAAAAAATCTTGTTTAATTAATATCGCAATACTTATACTTCTGAATAATGTGATTTGGTTGGAAAAGCCAGTTTTTCGTTTTAAGTATCAAAGAAGATGAAAAAAATAACAAATTTTCGAAGCTAATCTTTATGTCCTTTTTGCAGGAGAATGTTTCCAACATTTCAAGTGAAATTGTTTGGAATGGACACAATGTCAGAATACATACTCATGATGGATTTTGCAAGTGTTGATGATAAAAGATATAGATATGCTTTCCATAGGTAAGTAAATACTTTGCTCACGATTTGAAACAGTCGGGGTAGTCGGGATGCCATGAGAGTTTAACATGTTCCAAACATCCTAGTATATATATATGCGTAATTTACTTTGATTAATTGTAGACTTACCTGATACAAATGGCGGTGTAAATAGTTCGTTTTCAATGCTAAATTTATAAATACTTTAAAATTTTTGATTAGGGTATTTAATTAAGTTATCTCATTTATGATATTCAAAAAATTTTACAGTTCGAGTTGGTTGGTTGCTGGTAAAGCTGATCCTGCGATGCCTCCTCGAATTCACGTTCATCCCGATTCTCCCGCAAAAGGATCACATTGGATGAAGCAAATTGTTTCTTTCGATAAACTCAAATTAACTAATAATTTATTGGATGACAACGGACATGTGAGTAATATAGGTTGTTTTCGTATAGTCAGTTTCAAGTTAAACGTTTCAGTGGCTTCGACGACTTCGTGTGCGTGCACTCATTAAAAAAAAAATGGTATATTTGACTTGCCATAAAGAGACTTTACACAATACGTACATGCAGTGAACATCGGGAATTACTGAACAAAATTAAAATTGAATATACTCTATATTAATATTCAAATTTATATTATTCAAAAGTATATTATTATAATGCCCACAGATATTATTCAAATAACAAGTTCACTCGCGATTATACTGAAAATGAAATATAGCTTAACAGGTGGTGATCCTAAATTCTCCATAACCTGGTACTTCGAATATTTGTGGGCGTATAAACCGCAACTAAAAACATGGTATTGTATTTCTAGACCCAGCTAAGACACGAAAACAATTTGCTTATTGGGGTTAGTAAGTGTAGATTGCAAACTATTAAAAAATTTGTAACATTTGGAGTAATTATGAGGCCTGAGATAAGGTGTTGTGTCTGAGCATACTCAGTTACAGAGTATCATTTTACTGTTTACGTGTGATGTAAATGACATTTAAAGCATTATGAGAGCTAACTATTTTGGTCTGGACGAGTTACGAACTTCATGTCTCTCGTTTGCGACAGTTTGGACTTAATCCAACGCAGGATCACGTAAACTTGCTAATTTTGTCTATCTCGTTCTCTCGACTTCCAAGGTTTACGACTTGTCACTACTTGAGATATTGTTTTAATTAGAGAAACGTAATTTGATAGTCGCATAGTTTGGAGGCATGTGTTTCTATGATGTGTTACTAAAACATGCATCAAATACTTTTCACTGTGATGCAATACTCACATTCTCTGTGATGTTATCACTGCCATCAAGTGTTGTTAATCAATGTATTAAAGTCAACCGCGATTGAATTCTCAGTATCAAATAACTGTCAGATTTTGATATCTCAAAAATTTAATGAAGGTTCGTCATTCAAGAATGGCGTCGGTGTGTAATATTTAATTCCAATTTTAGCGATACCACAATGACTACATTAAAGATGTAACTGCATATTAATAAGGGGTATTTGATAATTTATTTGCTGGCAAATTTTCTTCCAAATGTATGTAGATTTAGACTTGGCACCAAGTATACGTGCTGTTATATATATTGCCTATCGACCCTTAGATAATTGGTAATAAACTCCGCTCGATACTATGTGAACTGAAATTTTGAGGTTTCTGAGTTTTGGGATAAATATTGAGACAATATTTGCCAATCTACAAATACGTTAAGTATTTCGAGAATTTGTCACATTTATCCAAACCCACGGAATGAACTGCATCCAGACCAACCTTAAAATTGTGTTAATTGAGAAACCTGTATAATGGTTTATATGCACTTGCAGTGAGGCTCAAACATATTTAAACATCGATACAATGTGTCGCAGAGACGCGGTTCATTTATATTCCACCTATGTATCATCATCTATAACAGGGGTGGGCAAAGTTTTTGAACCAGGGGCCAACAATTTTGACCACATAGACTGGCGGGCCATGTAAATGTGACGTAAAAAGTAGCATTTTATGAACAATACTCGTATTTACGGTGTTACAAAAGCAAGGTTGGAGAACAATATTATGCCTCGTGTCAAAACTAAATTCAATCGCAATCTCAACAAATTCATGAGCTATTTTTATCTAAAACATCATAATTCGATTTCGGTTTGGTTGTGGCAGCATATATATAAGAAATTAAGGTTATCGTATTATTTGATTCTAAGTTGCCAACTCTTTTATATACCCGAGAATAACAGCATTTCGTTTATAGTAAAAGCCCTAGGTAGGATATTTGGGTTTTCTCCTTGTTAAATCAAATTAATTTCTAGTACGAAATATATTATTCACATGCTATATTGCAACGCAATTTGGGCAATTCTTGTTTTAGGTATTGGTGTTGTTGACAATTAACCAGAGTGAACACATGTAACTTTTTTCATACTATTTCTATGCTCGTAATTTCCAATCGATTTAGATAAGCGCGTAGTTGGGCGTAAAGTTTTATATGGGTAATTTTCAAGTACACTGTTATTGTGCCCTGATGTATTCAATTACAACTTTGAGTGTATTGAGGAAATTTTTATGCTCAGCTAACTTTCCAAGCATTACCAAATACATAACATCCTGAAATTTCAGAATTTTCATGCAACGTACGTACAGTCGGGAACGCTGATCGTCAAACATGATTTATAATAGAAACGATTGGGTGTAGATAAAAACAAATTCGGGTGTGAAATCTCAACATAATATTACAATTACCAGATAGTAAATTTGAAAACAATTTTTTGTTAGATAATTATATCTAAATAATTAGAAGAATTCTACTTCTAAATTTTCTTAATCTCTGTTTGCTTTACGAAAAAAACCTATCTTCAAGCTTCAAAATAACTTAATGATTCAATTTAGTTTATACGGAAAGTTTTAATATACACTATTACAATTAGGATAAGAATTCCCTGAATGATAACGAAGTCAAAGGTGAAGATTGTGGGGAGTCATTACCGCCAAATTAATTTGCACTTTGGTCGAAGTCAACAGGTCTACATGCGTGATTGACATGCCATAGGAATAAAACAATACTTACTGAACTCACTGTATAGTCGTTGTAATCTACAGTACAGTTGCCGGGTTGGTTCTTTTTTGAAACGTTATGCTTAAATGGGGCATAATTTAGATCTTAGAGATGAAACTCTATATTGTTTCTTAAAAATAATTGCGATATTAGATTTCAAAAGTAGATGCCAGCTTGAACGCTATAAATACTTATATATGAATACATATTTCTTAAAACAGAGTCATAAACACCAACTATAACTGCCAACGATTACTGATACGAGCTATGCGACTACGTTTCGTCATAACTGACGACGGAATCTTGTCCCAATTTCAAATTATCTTTGCCTTGGCATTTAATTACCGTTCTTGTAATGGTAGGTCATACATACATCTCATTGCAATAGCTTTCAGTCGTCACCACTCTCAAAGGAGTAAACTGCAGATAAATAATTGTGAAAGGAAATTAAACTTGAACCAAACATTCACATGCTTTCAATGGTCCAGACTGACGCTGTTATGATCTATCTAGTACGCGATGTCCAATCACGTATAAATTGGGTTTATATATTAGCTGAATGTGGGATAATCGGACTGGTTATCATTAGTAAACTTTTGTTTAAATTCACCAAAGCGCGTATGTATATACACTGCATCTCGGTTAAAACGTTTGTATAAAACTCTCAGTGTTAAGAGATTTATAGCTGTTTGGATTCTCTGAGCCTTCCTGACTTTTACCAACGAAATATAATCGTGATATGATAAGCAGCATTTCAATTACATTTTAGACATTCATTCATATAACAAATTAAACGAAACTTCCGTCTGAGCCAACGACTAACACACAGGTCTGAGCCGATTGCATAGCACGACTTCACGCTGGGTTCAACGATGCACCTACATTAATGGGTAGCAGTGTCAGTTCTAGGATATATTGCTCTACACTAGAGGAGATGTCTTACGTAAAGTTACAGTCAGTAGGCTATTGATAGCTGAACAAAGATAAAACATTCACAGCATCATTGCTTAGGCCTATATAAGTACAGACAGAACAATTTCGCGACCAAATTGTTAGACAATTTGTTTGTACAATGTGTTTTCAAAACACCAACATCAGTTAGAGTTTTCGTAGTTCTCAATTCTAATTATAGTCTGCGTGGAGAGGGAACGTGTATTGAATATTCCCTGCTGGTGTATATTATTCAATTGGTGAATGATGTTGTAATTTATCAAATTTTGGTTGACTGAGAGAAATTTCAAAATGGGGCGTTACAGAAAAATAAATGTAAAAATATGAGAGACTAAAAGAATTGAACTGATTATTACAATCTCTAACGTTAGTCGCAACACATTCCAAGCAATATTGAGTTGTAGAAGCTTGACAAGGTATAGTTATAGAGATAACTGTGGTAAAAAATAACCGTGAAGCCAAGTGTAAAAAATGAAAAAATGCAGTTGAAACTTCAAGAAGTTTTTTTTTTATGTTTCCTCGAAGAACAAAAACAATGTTATATTACAAAGTTATGCAGATCGTTTTGTTAACACATATTATTCTTCATTGTAATACCACACTCACTTGACTTACGCATCCTATATAAATTGAAGTATCAGCAAACAGTAGCACATTACAGCTGAGATCATGTTATCTCGGTTTAGAGAATTACAGAATACACCTTGTCAGCTTTATGTTTAGTCTCGTGATCACTCGGCACACGACGCCATTTTGTTTCCGGTGGAGTCAATTTGTTCCAGTTTCCGGAGGTTCGAACCAGTTTTCAGAACATTTTAACAAATGAATCGCGATTTATCTTGATGTAAAACACTTTTTCTTTATTTTTTTAAATTTATATTTTTGTCTTGTTCGTTAATAACAATCAGGGTAGGAGGTTGGATTGATGTATATAATGACATATTTTCCAATAAACGTTCACTTTGCACTGATACATTGACAAACTTTCACCAGAGAAAAATCCACTATTTTATCCAGGTTATTAAGGTCTCTACTATAATTGCAATCTTGTGATTCCCGTATTTCTACTCTGTCAAGTTATTAAAAAAAAGTTTCGCTGTCCTATTGTACAAATCATTGTTTCCGTGTAATATCGCAAACATCGTATTCGTATTTACAGATAGTGATGCTGTCTAGTTCTGGGCGCTGTGAATAAAAAGTTAAATCTGTTTTTTTCGTCGGTTGCAATAGGAATTGTTAGTTATCGAGCATGTAGAATAGCTGAACATCACAGCCTGTGTGGGACTCTAATTTAACATTTCAATATCTCAATTTAGACAAATAAAACATTGTTTATAATACGCTGAATGCGATATAAAAGTATTAATATCAGGTCTGGAATAAGATGCAAGCCCATGTAGCAAGATTAAAGTTATCAGTGAATTCGACTCTGTTGGGAGAATACCTTCGCAAGTTGCAAATGATCAGACTGACCTGAACTCATCAAATAAATTTTAGAGAATTCTTGTCAGATCGTAACATATTTTTCAGATCCAAACTTGTAAGAAGAAAAGAGCTTAGTCTCTTGGGTTTTTAATAATCCGTTTAAGGTATTAGTCATATGATATTTCAACATGGGAATTGCATATTTGTGGTCGAGTTTGAGATAAATACCGCTATGACATGATTCAAAATATATTTTCTGTGTTGATGAAGAGAAAACAAAAGCTATTATTGATGCTATTTTGATATTGCGACTGATGGTAGATAGTTAAAAAATAAGACAATGGTCATAAATAACAAATGATGGTGTCATATAAAATATGCACATTTGTACTATTATTTGGTCTAATTGTAGAATGTCCATGGGTGTCCAATGTCACTGCTTGTCCAGAATATTGCCATGAATATAAATTTAAAGAATTGAAAAGATCTATTAGAACAACATATTTCGGGGAATTCAATTATGTCAAACTGTTGAACAGCTAGCAAACATGAACAATAGAAAAATAGATTTACATTACTTCAAAAATAATATAAATTTGTGCATAGACTAGATGTAATTAGGTTATTATTTTTACCAAAAATTTGTAGTTGATGTTTCTGAGATAGATCGATCTCTTCATCGCATAGTTTTTTCAATTTAACTATCACTCATTGTATATTGTAAAATGAATGAACTAGATTACATTTATGCAAAGTTATGTATGAAAAGGGTTTAACGTTGGTATATTTGTTTCAGATAATACTCAACTCAATGCATCGGTTTCAACCACGTTTTCATGTAGTATTGGTAGACGATGGGAAGGACAGTGTGCAACGTGCAGATGAGAACTTCAAAACTTTCGTGTTTGATGAAACAAAGTTTACAGCTGTAACTGCATACCAAAACCACAGAGTAAGATTTTTTGATTTCCTTTTTCAGCAATATCAGTTTTGCATTTGGGGAAAATTGTTCGGGACCCCGGTAGAGTGCCGAACACTGATTTAAAATCAAATTTAGTCATGTTCAATGGAATACATACCTACCTATTTTATTATATTATGGAAGCATCTATCAGAAATCAGAAATCATTGGTCTCGATCGTTCTGGTGACTCTTTGTGTATTTTATTTCAAATTTGTTGATTATTATTTGGTGACATCATCAAAATTGCTTGGGATTTGCGTTGAGCATACTCTTGTAAAAATGTGAACTCACTCGGTTTGTTCAACACGAGCACAACTGGTTGTCCTTTTGTATACGCCTGTATATTCAATGAAGGTGGCATTGGGATGTCAGTTGGAAAAACCCTATATCTGATATATGACTATAGGGAATTAGAATTAGTGGTCTGTTTGCGTTGTAACTCTTTTTAGTCGAAGAATAATCTTCAATCAAACGTTACTCATGGTTAAAATATCTTATATTCTAAAGTTAGACTTTTTTTATTTTGTAATCTTAAGATGATATTAAATTTGATACTGTATGAACATCTCTTGGGATATAAAGCAGTTTGCGAGATATAATTATGATAAGATTAACATATTTTCGTGAGAAAATTTGGCAAGCATTATTTCTAGTGCTAGTATAGATATAATTGCTTAATGACACCGTGTAAATCACAAGTCAAAACATAAACGTTAGTTTTAAGTACGCTTAGAAGTTTACCGAAATTTTGGAAAAGTATAGTTTTCTTTTTAAATGGACATGAGCGACACAAAACTACACGAAAAGGCTTTATAAAAGTGTCAAGTCAAAAACTCGACTGAATTGAAATGTTTTATGATAATATTTACTTTGAAAAATGTGATTTCTGATAATTAAAACATAACTCAATATATTAACAATCAAACTAAGAACGCTCCTGCTTCATTAAAAAATACTGATTCAATAATATTTTGAAAAAAAATCTAACAATTCTATAATATGATAATGGTATTTTCTTGCAAGTCAACCAAATATTAGAATAAAAAATGCAAGCAAAGTTTAAAATAATATATATCTGAAAGTATTGAATGAATTTTTGGTCAACCCGAATTTCAGGAAGAGAACGATCAAGTGACGTCATTTTAATAATAGAAAGGACAGATTAACAGGTTGTAGCAGACAGATTTACACATTGTTGTTACAGCGAAATCTAGCATCTGTAAATATTCTTTTGTCGACGTAGAAAATTCGGACTAGTAGTGATTAACGTCAACTCCATCTTACTGCGCACGTGGCTTCTCCATTTACTTAAGTGGATCCCTCGAGTTTTTAGCGCGTCAAAGCACCATGGCGCGCTGGGTCAAAAATTGAGGTTTTACTTTAAATTGATCTATTTTCTGAATTCATAAGTTTCATACAACATGCCATATGACGGGCACGTTTGAAGAGCCTTCAAGATACGCAAATAGTTTTTCACGGTGTAGTGAAAGCGGGAACGACGTTATCAAAACTGTGCATATAGCATATAGTTAAAAATATCAGATGATTTTCGAAGATGTATGTCCAACCTCGCGGCGACGGTTTTAGAAGAGCCATTCAATCGAAAGCGAGAGTGGAGTGAAAAGCTCCTTTCCTGGCCTTTGCTATATTCTAAATGGGGGTTATTGTTAGATAGGATCAATGTTTTTATTTCATAATAGTCCTATTTCGCAAGTGTCTATATTGCGTTAGGTATTTAAGCATCAATCAGTTTTAGTGAACTGACCTTATCCGTCACTGATTGAATAAAAGCACACTGCCCCAAAGTTTGCAACAAGGCAAATGGAAACCAAGTCTTGTTTCAATATATCAATATGGAAAAAGGTATTTCGTCCTAACTACTATTTATAAATATATAGAAACGCCAGATGTATTGATTGTGCTTTTAATTGTGTCTGTGGTCACTAAATTTATTTTAGGTTATTTAAGTTCTAGATATTCTGTTATGAATCCAACCCATAAATAATCAAAGTAGGAAATGGACGAAATAGCTTATTCAAACATTCATTGTATTTTGGTAACGAATCGTATCGTTTTCACTCTCCTTCCGGTTCAAAATGCTGTTATAGTTCAAGTCCGTTGAAAAAAAAAAAGTATTGAATTTCATATCGCAACTGCAATCTAAATACTTAACTATACCTGACCTTCACCTTACAGGTGCACTCATTGGCTATGATATTTTCTTCCCTTTTCTGTGTATTTTTTAGTTCTTAGTTTGGTATTTTTTGATAAGAAAGCTGATTAGGTAATATTTTTAGATTTAGTTTTGTTCTATCAAAATTATTTTAGTGATTCCATATCACCATGCATAAAAGTTAGAGATTTATCAGTCTGATAAAATACTCCAGGAAACCGAAATTATTCACATAGTTCTCTCACTGAATAGTTTAGGGTTAAATATGACTATAATTTATATTGAATAATGGTTAAGTGTAATCGTTCAGATAAGTAAAGAGTAAGCGTGCATTACGGTAACACACTTCACGCCTAACTGCGCACAGGTACACAGTAAAAACAAAATGGCGGCTTCCCATCCAGGTATCACAGCTCAGGTTGATTCATACAGTAAGCCTAATCTGTTCCCGACACGGTTTGGATGGGTATCTGTTTACAATCAAACGATTTGTCAACGATACCCACGCTCAACGTTAGATACAATGTGTATTGGAAAAATATATTTTATACCTGTGATATCAAGGTGTTACACCAAAATCAAATATATGTTTTGTAGAAAACAACTATTAAAGCTTTATTTATGGTTGTTTTTCATTTTAGTTTTCAAGACTTCAAAGGTATTAAAGTTATAATTTTATGTACTATGATTTCCTTCTGGCACGTGATAAAAGTATGAATACAAATAAATTATACCCTGGCTGCACTGGGCGTTAGGGCTAGTGACACAATAACTATAATATTTGAATTTATTTCGACGTAATGTTTAGCTTATATTTAAGTATCTATTAATATGATCTCCGATAATAAACATCATTTCTTTCAACAACTTTATTGTTGCCGAGCATCGCTATTTAAATGAAAAGAATTTTTAAAATATCGACAAAGAGGCATATTAGTTAAATAACTTGAATCAAGTTTCAACAGTTTAATACTCAATTTGTCCGCTGTTGTGGGTGATTATACGTGTCCTTGTTCTCATTCGCTTGCTTGTAAAATTATCTTTCGGGGAATAAGCTAATAATCATGTATTACATACTATTCAAAGAAGAGTGGGAATTGTAGATAAAAAAAATACATTGAATTAATATATATTACACAAATCGAAGTCTCACATCGATTTAAAATACCTTTTTTAATAAATACTTGTACATACTAACACTTGATATAAAACTTTGATTCGTTGTAATGGGGCAGAACCGACCACCGACAGGGATGTTGATAGGAACAGCTGATACCAGAAGTTGTCAACGTGTTTACCACTGCGGCAGAACTCTTTTCGAAATACCAGTGATCTGCCAATGCCCTTTACTTTCAACGTAATATTATAAAAAGAAACAGGGTTTCATTAAATATTAAGAACTGTCGTATTAGTTCTAATTCAATTACCATACAGACTTAATTTGGATTGTCTTTCAGCGATTAGACATTATTATTAAGCCCCAGAAGGCTGACAACTGCACTGCTGGATTCTCCCTTCCAACGATATTTCGACACGTTTGAACATTGTGAATGCAACCTTGGATACGTATGGGTAAAGCGTAAAGTTCGCCAAATAGATAGTTTTTACGATAGGCCCAAACATTGCAATACAATCATTGAAGTTGAAATGTTGATACCCATGGACGTCCCTGTTGGACAACGACGTATCGCACGCACATCACGTGATAATTGAAGGGTATTTGGAGTGTCTGGTTAATTTTGACAGATTAGGCAAATGTACTAAAATTGAAATAACGCTTCGAGACTTTGAGGCCAAGTATTTCGTGTTTCAATTTTTCACGATATAACGGTTTTGTAAGTTACACATAAAAAGAAAAATATTTTCCAATTAGGGTAATATATGTATCTATATTTGAATTGTATTTCGAGACAATGCAGATGTTTTTCAAAAAGCAAATAAATATTTCACAGAAAAAAAAAAAACATTTCTATGATATTTATATGAAAACACAAATCGAATCGATGGTGATTTGCACTTCGTGGATTTCATAATTCCAGGTGGATATATTCCATATTCTATCTTTTAAGTAAAACATCGGCAGTGCGCCACCTAGACCAAAAGTTCTTGAAAACTACCACACATATTTTAATCAATACCAACAATTTCAATCATAACACAGAAACCACGACAACCATTTGAGCATAAATGGTTTATCACCGATGGCATAGATTATGTGATTTTTATTTTAAATGAACTTCTATAAAAAACTTTTTCTATATCACATCAGTATCTTCTCTGAGTCTTCTTCAAATCTTGTTGTTTCCACATACTATGTAACATTTCCAAATTTTCGTTCTGGATTTTAGACCTCGATATGATGTGTAATATTAATAAAAAACTAAATGTCTACTTTTTTTCTCTACTTTCGAAAGTTTTCAAATAAAGCAGTATTAACCTAAAAGCGGCGAGTGATTCATCTTCCAACCTGTTTACACACAAAATGATTTCACTGGACGATCCTCCGTGAAACGAAATAAAAGCGTCATTTACGTCTGGAACTGGACGCTTGCGTCCATTTTATCATTCACGTGACACGTATCCTTAGTCAAGGCGTAAAATGGCCCTTTGTTGTGAAGAAATGACAAAAGAAGTCCGATTTATTCCATTTTACCGGTTCATACGGAAATTACAACCAAGGCGGCGCGTCGCTTTTCGACACCTAGGATTAGCTCCGGAAATGGAGCGACTAATTGAGTTCCCTGGATTTTGATATTAAACGAGTCGATGACAGGAATATTTACTGTAAAAAAGTACGTGACTTTGGATACAATTAT